TAGGATATCAGGAAAGGACTAAAGAATTGAGAAAATCTACTGGTGTTGAATGTGGCAAATTTGATTTCTGCTCTGTTCATCTAGAGCCACATTCCCAAATGCATAGGATGACATAATATGCCCTATTGCTCACCTTGATACACTGGGCTGTGTGGTGCATCTTAGATGACCTCGGGGGACATAGTGCTTTCCTTCCGCTCCTTCAAGAACTAAGTTGCACAGCATTTTTGCTTTGATTTCCTTTCCATCAAACAATTAACCTTCTGGAGATACTGGGTATGTGTTGAATTTTATCTGCAGAAAGAGGGACAAACTGTTACCTGAAAGGAACAGTAAAGAAACCAAAGAAAGATAAAAATAAGAATGTTAAAGGTTATAATAATGGCTTGAGACGCGTTAAAGAGCTATACAAACTCAGGCCATTTGATAATAAGGCACACCATTATGACATATGCCAAGCAGTCAATTTGTCTCTTGTTGCCTCTAAAACAGAATTTAAGCCATTGGCCTCTGAAGATGTATTGTGTTGTGTTTATAACAGCAGATACTTAAGTCTTAACTATTGTGAGGTTGGGCCTATATGGGTTTGTTTCTGTTTTTAACCACAAACTCAGTTAGATGGAATACAGTTAGCTAAACAGGCAGTATGACCAAGCTGTTTTCTCAAATTAAAGCTATCCAACAAGTAATAAAAAGTCTAAATAATAATTATTACACAACGTTAACTAATACTCTTTTCACAGACGAGTCCATAAATGTTGGTAAAATATTTGCTCAAGCTGTGAGTCACAGTGTATTGACCAAAATATGACAGTTTAAGGGAAAATCTAATTGGTTTTGTTACTATAAAAAAAGGTGAAAGAGATTTGCACAGCTATTAAACCTGAAATATAAATAAAAACTCTTATAAGAAGCATCTTGTATTTAGAAAACCCTATCAGATATGAACAAGGCTGCAAATGATTTGGTTTTCTTTGGACAACCAGATACATTTTTTACATAATGTTTAAAATACCCTTTCGTTTGCTTAATGACACGCTCATGTTAAAAAGCTGTGTAGGTCATGTTGGAGGAAACAACAGCTTGCAATTACATTAGAGCCAGACATAGACGGAGGAGCATAGCTACAGCATTTGTTTGTTTAGATAAAAGGGCAATAAACATCCAAATTACACATGAAATGATTTATTTGACCATACTATCTGTTGGACATTTATAAAAGATACATTTATGCATGCTAGTGTTTTTTTATTTTATTTGTACCTTATATTTTGTCCAGAATTGAGTGTCTATCAGTTAAACATTAAAGAAATCACCAAATTATTACAAATTAACTCTTTTTTAACTACATTACAACGATCTGTACTAAATGAATAAAACACTATAAATCTTATCTTCTGTTAGTCCTAGTTCTAAGTGAGGCAATTTAGTTTTATTCTGTTGACTATCATATTGTTTCCAGGCTCTGCCCTTTACAGTCGTTCTCTCCAGTAGATTGTTTTTAATTCCTTCACCATTCCCAGCAGTCCTCTATGGAGGACAAGAAAACAGCCATTTTTAATTTAATATTTAAAAAGTAGGTACAATTAGAAATCCGACTTGAAAAGTGTTTTCTAATTTCATATTTTTAATTGAATTATGAGAGAGGAATTGTAAATTGTATTAATTCATTATGAAATACTGCTGTCTGAAATGTGTTTTCAAATCCTATTTCTAAACAGAGATTCAAAAACCACTGTAGGTCATTGCTCATTGATCATTTTGTGAAACAAGTGTGGCATTCTTCAATAAGAGAGCTGCTTACATCTGAGTCGCAATCATGACTGGTTTAACTGGTTTTCAGGATGCACAGGGACCAGAAGGGTGACTGCAAAGTAAATGGAGAAAGTAAAGTGAAAATAAATTCAGTTGCGAAAAGGATTTGAAAACGCAAGATGAAAAAGAAAACGGAAACTGACTAAAGGTGCGATTAAAAAAAAGTTATTAATCAGATTTATGAATTATGTTTTTTAAATCTGCTTTTAGAAACAGGATATTGTCAGGATTTGGTTGTGGTGTGAGGACCCAAATGCAGAGGCAGGGAGGCAGAGGTGAGTTTCTTGTAGGTTTAATGAAAGGTTAACTAAACACAGAGGCAGCAAATCCAACAATCTAACATGAAAACAAAGTCAAACAAACCAGAAACCATGGAGACACCTGGGGGAAAACAATCACGAGGAGGAGGACTCACAGAGACGGAGTTGGAGGAAGTTAGACGAGGAACCAGCACTGAGGAACTGCATAAGGAGTGTACTTAAGGGAGACTGAAACAAAGAGGACTAACGAGATAATTGGGAGCAGGTGTGAACAGAGCAGAACAGGAAAGGAGCTAGGGAAAAAGGAGAACACAAGGAGGGCAGCAGAGCGCAACAAATAAAAACCTGGAAACTGAAAAATAACCAGGGAACACGACAAAATAGGAATTGAACCACTAAAACTAGAAAACATGGAGCAAAGTAAAACTGAAAACTCAAAAGAAAACATAACAGAACCAGAACTGTGACAGATACCAACATACATTTTTAAAATGAAGTAATTTGTAATGAATTAGTAAACACTATTTACAGTTTAAGATCCTTTAACAATTAAGTTTAAAATGCTTTTATAATTGGATTTCTAATTGTAAGATCTAATTGTTACATTTGAAATTGATGTTTTCTCTCTCAGTGACTCTCCTGGTCCTCCATTGCACTCTGCATATTGGTAAAAGAATATTTTCACTTCAAGCCTTTTTATTTTAATAAATAATTTATTCTATATCAGCTCACTTTTGCAGATCAATATAGATCTACACTATTTCAATAGTATGTTTTTTTCCAAGTTTAAAGAGCAGCATAGACCAATGGGCCCCAGAGTCACTTTTTATTCTTTATCGATGGATTTCTGTTTGCAAGATCCACAACTCTTACCCATTCTAAATTTGATGCATTACTTATAAAATACTTTAGGTTCATTTTCTAAGAATCAATCATTAAGAGTGGCAATAATTCTGGTTCTAGTGAATTTGTTAAAATAAAATAAAAAACAAAAAAAAAACAATAGTTAATCAAACAGTATTTTTTTTACAGCCTAATATATCTAATCCTGTTAAAGGTTAGATTTTTTTACATGTGTTTTTAAGGTTGTCACATATCTAAAGATCATCCTGTTCAGTTTTGCATCTGTACTCTAAACCAGTTTTCCTGTTTACAGCTCACTACTCTACTGGAGTACAGTTGATTGTTCATAAACAAAAAGTATTCATATCTTTTTGGTTTATTTCCTGTATTTCGTTAAATCACATCAACAAACATTGTTCTGAGATTGTCTCAAAAAGATGCAGTTATTTCATGTAGGGAACTCAACAAAGATGTAGAACAGCTTCCTCCAATCAGATTATCACTGCCCGATGCTTGGGGATGCTTTTTTGCTCATAGGGCTAAGCAAGATGATCAGAGTTGATGGGTGGAGTCTGTTAGAATCTACAGAATAATGGAGACCTGCTGATCATCCAGCAATACAATACTGATAGTGTTCCTAAATGCCCTCCAGTCAGTCTCACTGTGTTTTAGAAAGATTGATGAGCATACCCCAAAAGACAATCAGCTGTAACTGCAGCAGAAAGTTCTTTACAAAGTACCAGATCTGGTAGTCCGCTCATAAACAGGTTCAAAACTTTTCAGATTTTTATTTGTAAAACAAACTTCAGACATTATGTATAAGGTTCCCCATTCCAAAGCCATGATCTAATATGCTGGTCTATCCCTAGAGAGAAAAAACTCTAAGGTCTGAGTTTGTAATGTGATTAAATCTTTCAGAGATGTGAACACCCATTTAAAGCACTAAAGTCAACAATGCAAAAAGGCTGAAAGTAAATGAGAAAACAAAAGGTGTTCTCTAAACATGAACGTCTAACATTTCATGTTGTTGCTTATGACATGGCATTTAATTATTTGCTTTATAACCAAGTGTAATTTAATGTAATATCTCCACTGAATGCATTTATTCTGAAGCAAACCAGGGCTACACATGGCCAGTGTCAAAGAAGAGAAGGATACAGAAGAAATGAAAAGTTTGCTTTTAATAATATAGGAAGAACATATTTATTTCCATTCCAATCAAAGCTTTCATAAGGCAATACTTGGTAAAAACAGAAACAAAATCATTTATTTACAGAGCCTCTAATGATTTCTCATTTACAGTATAAACATTCTTCATTCCTAATTAATATTCTCAGAGCTTTATGATTTCCTGCAATTAATTTGTTCAGTTAAGCTTAATATAAGCAGATCAAAAAGATCAACTAATTGAAAAAAAAAAAAAATTTCTTTAGTAAACGGAGGTTACATCCAAACTGCAACCTGAAGTGACCCAAATCCGTTTTTTTTTTTGTCCATATGCAACCTGGATCTGATCTTTTCATGCCAGTCTGAACAACACAGATCCGATTTTTTCCCAATGCGACCCAGGCCACTTGGCTATGTGGTCCTGAATCCGATATGAATCTGATCTTTTCAAATGCGAAATGTGTCTGAACGGCCAGGTCGCATTCATTCGGCCTGAAGGCCATTAGTAACCGACATAGGTCACTATTTTGCTTATTGCTACACAGAAGCGGCAAGAAAAACAAACACCATGGCGGATGATGATGCGGAGAGCAGTATTTTTTTAACCGTCTTGAAAAGATTGAGGTTTTAAGGTTTGGAAAGATCGTTAGATGCTCTCCAGAACTACCTTCATGTTTACTTCCGTAAACACAGAGCATGCTGGCTTGTGACGTCATTGCGTCCTCTACTGCGCATGCGGGACACTAATGCTGTATGAATGCAGTTTACACACGAGATCACATATAAGTTGCATATATTTGGAAATGTGAACTGCAACGCAATGCAAAAAAAAAAAAATCGGATTTCCCAAAAAAATCGGAATTGAGCATTAAGGCCTGCAGTTTAAACGCAGCCTTTGATTTGTTTAGAGGCAGATTAAAACCTGTTTAACACCCTGACATGCACTTCACCAATCAAAGTCTGGAAGTTCCCTTAAAATAACCAGTGATGAAATATCTGTAGGAGAAGGTTTAAATTAATCCTGAGATACTCTAATCAAAGAGATGGGGGGGAAACAGGGGTCCAAGCTGAGGGCAGCCGGCTGAGGGGTGAGGATTCAAAGTGGGTGGCATCATGCACCTCTGTGACGGAGCTGCTGTCATACATGGGAGAGCCAGAGGGGGGCACTGTGGCAGAGTGAGACAGACTGGGATAGTGGCTGGATGATCCTCGGAGGAACTGGGAGCCCAGGCAGCTGTTTAACCCCCCACCCTGAGACACTGGAGTCAGTGGGGAGTTACTCACAGACCACAGGCTGCTGTACTGACTGCAGAGACACAAACATGGAGCAGATGAGAAATTCCAGTCATTATTAGTACTGATTAAACCTTTTTTCTCATCCTGATGGAATACCTTATCATATAGTTTGGATCCCTTAATTTTTTTTTACGTGCTTTTATCATCATGCGTTAGCCTGCATGTTACCTTACCTTTCATTGCTCCAAGTTTAGCTGGAATTGATCAGAGTAAAATTGTTCATTTTCAAGCCATTATCTTTATGCAGCTTATTCTGAAATGAAGCCACTGAAGAAGCTTTACTTGTCCCCAAAGATCTGACTTATGTCACATTTTAAGTGTTTTGCAAAAGTATTGAATACCCTAAATCTAGCTAACTTCAGACTATTAAAATGTTATATGCTAGAGTAGAGAGTAACTGGTATGCTTTTAATGCGCTACAACAATTTTAGTAAATGAAATTGTAAAGTATGGCATGAGTTTCTACTTATTTCCTCATACTCTGTTACTTATAAATAAAATCCCATCCAATTAATTAATTTTCTTCAGCCTGCAGAAAAACCTGAAGAAGAATGGTGTGAAAGAATGTTCTCCAGTCAGCCACAGGGGGGCAGTAATGCCTTAGTCCATCTTCTAGTAACTTCATTAATCATGTCAGGCACAGTTCTTACAGATACTGTATGCATTTAATGTTCTCTTTTATCACATACAATGCAAATAAAATACATGAAACTTTGAGGTAACAGCGGGATATATTTTTTAAAAAGTTGTTCTTTTTTGCATCTCTTATTCTGTTGTTTATGGAATGGAAATCTTCTTAATTTGCATTGTAGTTATATAGATTTTTATAATGCATTTTTTTCGTTTCTTTTGCAGTCATCTGGCACAGTTTTCTAAGCAGATTAAGTAGATCCAAACAAAGATAAGAACACAGACCTTGTGTTGGCTCCTGAGGAGGAATTGTGGGCCATGGGCATCATGCTGGAATGAGTCGGCATCTGCAGACTGGACCAGTTATCATGGCTCGGGAGCATCGACAAGCTTGTTGAGGAGTTATCCGAGTAGCCAGCTGCAACATAAAGAAGGGGTTAACTGGTTTTAGCTGTATATCGCAGAAGTTAAAACATGTCACATTTTTTGTATGTATATGCCAAGAGCCATTCCTTGGACAGACCTTGCCAAAATCCAAACACTACATCTTTGTGCCTTAAAACACACAAAAGCAGGTGGAATGCAAACCATTCACCCATCCAGCAACATTTGTTTAAGTTTCTAGTTAAAATGCAAAGTGGGAAGAGCTTAAATGTTAATGATGAAGGGACTCACTGGGTGAGCTGGTCCGGTGGGTGTACGGGCTGCTGTAGGGGGCAGAGCGGTGGTTCCTCAGGCTGGAAAAACGCTCACAGCCATGGGAGGGGGAGGGGGCCATGGGACTCCCAAACTGACTGTGAGGACTGGTGGGTGTGCAGAGGGTCCCTGTGCCATGAATGAACCAGCTGCCCACTGGCTCCACAGAAGGGAAAGTACATAATATTAGCACCATAAAATAAGGAAATAAGTATAAGATTTAAAAAAATTATATATATACAGAATTACACTGAGAGTAGCCAGACTGTGTATTCTCATTTATGTCTTCCCTCATGTCTCTGTTGTCATTCCTGTACAAGAGAAAGAGCAGTGTGCATATTTTGATTTCATGCTGATGTTGTGGTAAAAGTAACTTTTAGTCTCACTCTTACCTTTCTTTTGCATCAAGAAAGGCTTTGGCAAAAGGATTGTACTTTATTTTTAGAGCCGTTATCTGAAATTCAGAAACACTTTACAGTTGGCTTTGCTAAAAATAAAAATATATTCTGTGCACATAAGTGACATTTTGCTTGCATGATCTGAGAGTTTTTTAAAAACTGAGATAAGGCTGACTGTCCAGGGCACCCAGGCCTGAAGGTAAAAGAACCTGCTTTATAATAATGGTTTAAACCAAGAAACTAAGATCTGACCTCTAACTGTGTTTATACTAACCTCTTCATTTTGGTACGCTGTTACAGCAATGAACTGTGTCTCTGGAAAGGAGTGGCTGGTGATCATCCTTCGAGGGCCTCCAACCCTAACGATGTGGATACGTGGCTCATATTTGTGCAAAGAATTTAACATAATCTTTAAAAAGAAAGAAAGATAAGAAAGCAGAGGGAAGATTAATTATAATTCCTTTTTGCACTTTACTTTTAATGCTTGCTTTTGAAAAGAAACAGTAGCAACACTGCAAAATAATTTTTTCTGAGGTAAAATGTTTGCTAATAAAATCATATACCTTTTTATTATATTTATATAAAGATTACATTCGTTAATGTGATATTTAAGAATGATTAAAATATTATATTACTAATTTCTGCATTAAAACAAATCCTAAACAAGGCTAACAAAAATAATGAATGATTGGTTGAACTACTTAATTAAACCTTTAGGTTGTTAAGTATATGCAAACAAAAATGTACTAAAAGCTAAGAATGATGAAAAGTCTTGTTGAGTTATTCTGTCTTGGGCCAAAACTGATTTTTTTTTTTTTCTGGTAATATCAAGCTTAGTAGCAGCATTATTACTACAGTTAAGTTTGTTAATTGGTAAGTTAATGCTAAAGTCAAACTTTTTACTCAGCTGAAATAAAAAAAAAAGTCAAGAACTGTCTCACACTCTTTGGCTCAAAGAAGAAACAATATTCTTAGTTTCTATCCAGCTTTAATCTCTTAATATCCACCTCATTTTTGGGAAATTTACCTATTGTGCATACCCAAATGGAAAAGCAAATAACTGAGGAACTGTAAGCACAAAATTACATGAGTTATTTGTTATTTGAACGTTAACGCCTTCTAGTTTTTGAATATATACATGAAAATTGGGTGAGTAAAGCACCCAAGCTGCATCAAGCCCAAGCTGCATTCATTCAAACATGACTGAAAGTTTTTGTTTTTTTATTCTCGAAAATAATAAGTCTTTTTTGAACAGCAGTAATAAAGACATGCTTGCTTGTTGTGGCTGCTTTGTCATGCTACATTTCGACATGCTGCTATCATTGTGCTTTGGTGCTCGCTATGTCTATAAAATCAACTTGGTGGTTGAACTGTGGAGAATCTAAGCTTTCCAACTATGTCTAATATGACTATATTGGTAAACATTTTACCAGTGTAATTTTCATGCATTCTGAGCTATTATTTGTAAACGCTTTAAAACAGGTGGGTTTTTAGAGGTTAATGACTTCAGGTTTAATGCAAAAAAAAGTTTATTGATAAAACTCAGCAAAATACCAATCTTAGTTGATTACATATGAACAATAACATAACTGCTTTACAGTTGCATTGATATTAAGATCAAACTTGGAGAAAAAATGCTAAAAAATAAAAGCTTGCTAATATATTTGGCATCACTGAATAACTGTCTAATTTTAGTAAGACTTTTATACCAGGCTTTAGCTCAAATAGTAATAATTGAGCTTGATGACTTTTGTAAAAGCTAAGAAATTTATAAAAAGTTGTGCTTGAAAATGTTTATATGATGGAAAGAGAATTTAAATCTGTATTTAGCTTAAGAAACCTTTGCAAAACTATCCTAAAAAAAAAAATAATTTTTGCAAGCAAACCGATTATCTGAACACTAAGGCATCTTGGCAGAGACTGTCAGGGAGAAGCTTTTCATTCAATTTATGATTTGATAGCAGATGCTACATTTATTTGTATTTGCATACTTTTTTATACCTAGATAATGAAGTGGATAATGATTATTTTAGTTTAATTCTAAAAGGGGAGAACATCCTCAAATGATAATAAATAGATTTTATAAAGCACTAACACTTGTCATTGTTTAATATTTAAACATTACATGTTTAAGACTAGAGCTGCACTAATAACTGCACAAAACTGTGGCCCTATTAATTAGATTAGGTAAATTTTAAGATGACCCTAAATTAAAAATTAATTAGTTTCCTGTTTACAAACTGTTAATTAGGCAACATTCAGGCACCTCATTTGTGTTTAAATAATACAATATGACTATTTACTTAGTTATTATTTTAAGTATCTTAAATAATCTTAGAAAATTATGTTGAACTTAAGCTAAAATATTTATTATTATAAGAACTTCTTCACAATACAATGACATTTTGCTTTTTAATTTAACCCTTAGCATTCCTTCATTTTGAAATCACCACTTCCACCATATTATCACTAAAATATTATGTCTCAACATTTTATTTTCCATTTTTAATGAATGCCATGATACTTTTATTATTACATAAAAAGAAAACTGAATTAAATCATATTTTTTGTAGCCTACTGCATGCCTTTTGCAATGTTATTTATAAAATAAATAAAATGAAATATATTTTCTTTACATTTCTAACAAGCAGCATATAATGTTGCAGATGGGGATATGGATTCATCATTTGCCCCTGGGGTATCTGAATTAGAAGAACACTTTTAATTTTAATTTTTTTGCACAAAGAAGTTATGCAGTCAGACAAAGTAGATTTCTTTTAAAGTCTATATACTTTCTATGAATATAAGAGTTATCACTGATGCGAAACAGATGACAAAACAAGAAAATGCAATTTTGAAGGATTTGGGTTTTTTTTTACATTGAACTTTAATGTAATCAAAAATGCATTGTAGGAGTTATTTGCCTTACAAATGTTGATCTATGTGAAGAACCTTTAAAACAAAAGAGAAAATCTAGTTTATTCATAGGCCTACTTATTTAAAAAGCTAAATTATTAAACGATTAAAAAGAGTGAATACATAACCAAACAATATCCATGGGTAAAAGAGTCTTAACTTATAAACTTACATAAGCCAACTCACCAATCTGAATTGACCCATCTTCTAATGAATAAACCTCTGTAATGTTGTCATTCTGTGCAGAAAGCAGCTCCATGTTTACCTGACCTCCGCCGTTCAGTTTATTGGTGAGTTTAACTTTGCTGAAGGAGACCGGAGCCTTCATCCAGTGGGCCCCGAAGTTTGGAGAATCCGGGTGGATGTACACGCAGCTGGGGGTCTGGGGTTCAGGTTTACCTCCCGGTACCCACTCTCCATTAACGTATTTCCACCTGTGGTTGTCCGCGGATATAAAGTCCAGCAGGAAAGAATACATGGCATGTGGGTCCAATCCAGAGACGTTTACCTTCAGAACTGGAAACATCCGCCTTAAATGAAAGACGGCATAAATACCAATTTAGACCTCATCATCAAATCTTTCTTTTATTCTTTCTATCTATCTCTCTTTCTATCTATTTTCTTTTTTTCTTTCTTTCTATCTATTTTCTTTCTTTCTATCTTTCTATCTATTCTTTCTATCTATCTATCTACCTATCTATTCTTTCTATCTACCTATTCTTTCTATCTACCTATTCTTTCTATCTACCTATCTATTCTTTCTATCTACCTATCTATTCTTTCTATCTACCTATCTATTCTTTCTATCTACCTATCTATTCTTTCTATCTATCTGGTTGAAATAATAATGCAAAATGTTTTGCCATTTATTTAATCATATTTAGTTACTTTAACAATTGTTTCATGTTAGCAGGGTGGGACATAAAACAATTGTGTTAAAGTAACTAAATATAATTAGGTAAATGCCAAAATCAGCTGCATTATTTTTATCTATCATCTGAGGCTCACCTGCCGTTCTTTGTAACGATCATCTCGTTTGTGAGGTCCTTAAATTTTTGCCACAGCTGCAGCTCATCAAGGGTCACTTTCAGGTCCCTCTCGCTGGGGTCTCCCTTCTCGCTGCCGGCCTGCAGTTCACTCTCCACCGCACTAAGGAGGTGATCCACCCGGTACTGTGCGGCCTTGCTGCTGGGACATTCACCAGCACCAGTCGCCATTAGGTCAATCAGAGCAGAGAGGAACTGTGTTTCTGTGAGGAGATTAAAAGGCCTTGGCTGTTCTGTTTCCAAAGGTGAGTTTCTGACTATATAGTCCGTTCAGCGGCTCCGTGTCAGGATGACTCTTTGGAGGAACACTGGTTGGTTCATCTCCTCTTTGATCTTTGCGGGCTTGTCGCTGATTGGCTGAGAGTAGCCATACTATTAAAGGCTCACAGGATGGCAGCGATTTGAATGAAGCTTTATTACATGGACCTGTAAATATTGACACTTAGATCAAAGCCACACCTGCAGCAGCCAAGCCACTGTTGGGCTCACCAGGGCCGGTCTTCAGCCAGACAGGGCCCAGAGCTCAACACACAGTTAATTATCATTTCTTCATTTTTTTTTTCTTGTTGCAAACAAATATTTTTCAAAAAGCCTTTTAACACAATTTCCTTACAAAAATATTTGAGTTTTATATTTTAAAATATTAGTTGAAAAAATACTATTCCTGATAAACTGGTATTTAAGATTTTACAGTGAGAATGATATAAATAAATGAATAAATCAGAATAAAAAAAGGCTAAATTAATTAAAAATGTTAATCAAAAGTAAAATCAAACAGACGTAAAATCCTAACTACAACAAAAAAAAAAACCTTAAATATTTCATCTAACATAATGTAACATGCAATTAGCTGTCGTTTTATTTTTAATTTGGTAACAAAAATCTGTCCTCCAAATGTAATGGAATGTCATGTTTAGTGATTTGAGACATATTTCCGAAAATAATCATAGCTGCAAAATTATTTTGTCACTTTCTAGAACAGAAAGCCAATATTTTCATTATATCACCGTACAAACAAATTGATTTATCTGCCACTGTTGGGAAAGGCCTACCAAATTACAACCCCATGTCTTTTGTATTGTTTTTTGTTTTATTAGTTCATCCCTCAAAGGAAATTAAGTCAATTTTTTTGTTTTCGAAATCAAAATTGAAAAATACAGCATGCATTTGTTATCCATCCATGTTGTTTTTGATGCACCCAAATGAAATTATTGGATGTAATTTACAAAATAAATTCAAATGTGTGGAGTAAAACCAAGACAGCACATGTCGCATTAACACTTCTACGAACAATTGATATTTATCAAA